ATTCTATTCGGCAAATATCTACTGAGGGATTACATTAAGGCAGCACTGTACTGCTACAAAGAAGAAAGTAACTCCACAGTCCATACCTCTCTCTCTGAGCTCCTCTCCCATGTGTCTAACTGGCCCCCAAGTACTCAGACAGCATAGTGCAAAAGGCTTATTAGGCCCCACAGGATATTGTTCTAGTTTTTCTCTCTTCGCCTGTCACCACAACTCTTCTCTACTGTGCCTCAAATTCCTGAATTCTGTATCAGCTTTACTGATTTGGCCCAAAATCTAACTCTATTTTCTCAGCCCTTAAGGGCTAGGTAAGTTCCACTCAAGTCTTTATTCCATACCTTTTGGAAGGCCAAAGCCTTCTCCTGAAAATTTATCCAAATTCCCAGGATGGGGGTAGGGGGTGGTCATTACTGACTTGGTTTCCTGGCTCTACTTATGGTGCTTCTGTTCAACAACATTTTGACCCAGATGCAAAACTCAGCCATTCTTCAGTTTCCCCCAAAGACTTCACCCACACAGAGCATTTGTGAGCCTGGTAAATTTCACTGATTGGTTAGAGGCCAAGAGGAAGAATCACATTGCACCATATGACACATAACTTAAAGCCCCTATTAGCCATAACTTCCATATGCTCAAAAGTCCTTTAGCCCAACTGTCAGCATGGTTCTCTCACTGGCTTGTCATCCAGTGCAATCCCCAGCCTCCTACATCCTGCTGGCTTTTCTCTTCTTCCTCTCCCTTTATTCCTCTTTTCTCTCGAAATAGCAAAACCAAATCCCTCCCACTGCAGAGCAGCTGAATCAATCATAGGCTGCTTAACCTCTTACCAACACACAGACTTGCAGAGGGTGTGTCTCTACACCAAGCAGCCTAACAAAATATTTTATCAAACAAAGCAAGTCCTTCCCTAAGAAGGATTCTGGAGCCAACATTGTCAGCAATTTTCAATTCCATAGCCTCTCTAACCTCTAGGCCTTGTTGCATGTTATTTTCCCGGCCTAGAATATTCCCTGTCTTCCATTCAGATGTCCTACTCATCCTTTAGAACTCATCTTAGACAATGATTCCCCCAAGAATCCTTCCTCCAGGAAGGAATCCCATCTTTCCTGCAAGGTGCAAGGTGCCTGGGGGTATTCTACCTATCCTGGACCATGTAAATCCAAGGTCAAATTTTGGCCAGATGCCAACTTGGGCAGAAGACAATGAGAGAGCTGGTTTACTTCTGACTCACCTTTAACATGAGAAGGTTGCCTTTTAAGGTCCCAGGTTATTGTGGAGATAATCTCCTTTAGAGCTCTCACCTGGCTGATTTCTGTATCCCTTGCCCTGCAAAGTCCTTAAAACAAAAATGGAATTTGCCAGAATTGGCACAGCCATAAGGGCAAAGGTGGCTTCTGCACTTGTTTACCTCTCAGGATTCCTATTTTCCCTCTCACAGTGCCCTGCTATCCCTTTCTGTTTCATTAACTAGTTGCTTTTAAGATTTTTTTCCTTTTCAGCACTTTTTTGTTTTATTTTGTCTTCTCCAGGCAAATCAATAAAAGTCAAATAGAAATAGAATTCAACTTCTCCAAGAAAATTTAACCCAAAGTACAATTAGTTCCCTTTTTAAGATTTCTATGTCTTATCTGCTCTCAAGGAAGACCTCCTAGTCAATAAATATTTGTTGAACATCATGTATTTGCAAGACACTATGCTATATCCTGGGGATTCTATGGTGAGTGTGGCAAAGCCCTTGTCTACAATGACTTGCTCTCTTTTTGCTGTGCTGGGGAAACTGTCATAGATCAATGCCCTTTGTTCTCTAGAACATTATACTGTTCATTTCTTGGTGATAGATTATGGGTCTATTATAAAAGGATATAACTCAGGAACACCCAGATGGAAGAGATGCATAGGCCAGGGTATGTAGGAAGGGGCACCGAGCTTCTATGCTCTCTCAGCTCACTACTCTCCCCACATCTCCACATGTTCACCCACCTAAAAGCTCCCCTTTCAGCATTTTTAGTTGTTTTCAGTGGGAAGCTTAGTCCAAATAATCTAGACTGCCATTACTGGAAACTGGAAGTCATTAAATCCTTCCTAATTAGCAAGCAGATCTTTTGCCAGATATTCTTAAGTGTTTTGTGAGGCCTTCTCCCTAGCCTGAAGCTTTCATTCTGGTGTCATAGGCTACAGTCCAGGAAACAAATCCATCTCTTTTAGTCTTGCTCTTTCACTCAACAGACATCCACTGAGTACTTCCTATAAAGCATGGTTACAACAGTGAACAAGTCAGAGTTCCTGTCCTACACTCCCTTGTTAAGAGCGAGCAGAAAGTCATCAGAACTACGAGTTTTCAAGATCAGACTAGGCCCTACCAGCCAATTTAGGAAACTTCCATGTCTCCAGCCTACTGAATGGTACAGTTGTAAGGGGTGGGGCTACTGGAGACCTGATTTCTATGAAAGGTAACTATTGAATAGGGCAATGCTTCTAAAACTTTAGTATGCATAACAATCATCTAGTGGGCTTGTGAAAACAGATTACTGGGCCCCATGGCCAGAAATTCTGATTCCTAGGTCTGAGGTAGAGCCTGAGAATTTGTATTTCTAACAAGCTTTTAGGAGATGCTGACGCTGCTGGTACATGGTCCAGACTTTGAGAACCATTGCTAAAGGAGCTCTAGATAGAGCTTAGAAGCAAGTGCTTCTGCTCCTTTACAGTACTCTCCATTTTTAAAAATCAAGATAATCTGTAGCCAAGACCACTCAATGGGGAAAGATTAGTCTTTCAATAGTGGTGCTGGGACAACTGGTTACCCACAAGCAAAAGAATGAAGTTGTACCCTTATCTCACACCACATATAAAAATTAACTCAACATGGAACAGAGACCTAAATGTAAGAGCTAAAACTATAAGTGCTATTAGAAGAAAACATAGGGGTAAATCTTCATGATATTGGATTTGGCAATGTATTTAGATATGATGCTAAAAGCACAAGCAACAAAAGAAAAAAAATAGATAAATTGGACCTCATCAAAATTTAAAACTTCTGTGCTTCAAAGGATGCTGTCAAGAAAAATGAAAAGACAACATACAGAATAGGAAAAAATATTTGCAAATCATATATCTAATAAGGATTTTGAATCTAGAATATACAAAGAACTCTTATACCTCAATTAAAAAAAGACAGCCCAATTTAAAAGTGGCAAAGGGGGGCCAGCCCCGTGGCCCAGTGGTTAAGTTCACACGCTCTGCTTCGTCGGCCCAGGGTTTTGCCGGTTTGGATCCTGGGCACGGACATGGCACTGCTCTTCAGGCCACGCTGAGGTGGCGTCCCACATGCCACAACTAGAAGGACCCACAACTAAAAATACACAACTATGTACCAGGGGGCTTTGGGGAGAAAAAGGAAAACTAAAATCTTTAAAAAAAAAGTGGCAAAGGATCTGAATAGACATCTCTCCAAAGAACATATACACATGGTCAATAAACATATAAAAAGATGCTAGACATCATTAGTCGTTAGGGAATTGCAAATCAAAGCCACAAAGAGATACCACTTCACATGCACTAGGATGACTATAATAAAAAAAAAAAGGAAAATAAGTGTTGGCAGTGATGTGGAGAAACTGGATCCCTAGTACATTGCTGATGGGAATGTAAATTGGTGCAGCCACTGTGGAAAACAGTTTGACAATTCCTCAAAAATTAAACATAGAATTACTATATGACCCTGCATTCTACTACTAGGTATATACCCCAAAGAACTGAAAATAAGTATTCAAACAAAAATTTGTACGTTAATGTTCATAGCAGCACTTTTCACAATAGCCAAAAGGTGGAAACAACCCAAATGTCCATCAACTGATGAATGGATAAAGAAAATATGTATATCCATACAATGGAATACTATTCAACTATAAAAAGGAATGAGCTACTGATATGTGATACAGTCAAAAAAGACCACATATATGATTTCATTTATGAGAAATGTCCAGAATAGGCAAATCTATAGAGACAGAAAGTAGACTAGTGGTTGCTTAGGGCTAGGGTGGAGAGGAAGTAGTGGAGGGGATGATGGCTAAAGGTACAAGGGTTTTTTTTGAGGTGATGAAAATGTTCTAAACTTATTGTGGTGGTGGTTGTATATATTTGTGAATATACTAAAAACCATTTAATTGTACACTTTAAATGGATGAATTGTATGGCATGGGAATTATATCTCAATAAAGATGTTTAAGAGACAAGCACACAAACTACAACTGTAAAAAAGCAAAAAGATAATCTGTAGCCCCTCAGGAGTTTGACCTCATTCGTTCAGCAATCTGATGATGCCTAAATAACCAACATCTATCATAATCTACCCAGCACTGAGAATCCTGTGTTCTGAAAATGTAATCTAAAAATAACTTTGAAGCTAGATGAATTTTAGTTGTCTTAATCCATTCAAGCTTCTGTAACAAAATACCACAGACCGGGTGGCTTATCAACAGCAAACGTTTATTCCTCACAGTTCTGCAGCTGGAAGTCTAGGGTCACAGCACCAGCACAGTCACATTCTGGTGAGAGCCTTCTTCCTAGTTCATAGCTGGTGCCTTCTCACTGTGTCCTCACACGGTGGAAAGGGCTAGCAAGCTCTCCGGGGTCTTCTTTTTAAGAGCTTTAGTCCCATTCATGAGGGCCCCCATGACTCAGTCATCTCCTAAAGGCCCACCTTCTTATACTATCAGATTAGACATTAGGATTTCAACATATGAATTTTGGAGGACAAAAACATTCAGACCATAGCATTTCAAGCTGAAGCTATTTCAAAAGTCTCTGTTTTTTCACAGGTATCAGGAATTAAGGGAGTCGCTCCAACAATGTAGGCTTCCATGGGGTGCTGAAAGGGAATATGGCGGGATGATACCCATATCACTCCCTGAGGAATACACGCCAAAATGTGAACCTCCTTGTGGCATGGGCAAAGGACATCAGCATTATGGATTTGGTGGAGCAACCTGGCCAAGGTAAATCAATGTTCTGCCCTTCACATAGAGGGCAGGGAATTCTTTGTTACTCATTTTTCCTTATTTCAATTGTTCATCCTTTGTTAAATGTAACTCCAAACTTATTTTTTTTTACTATTTATGAAAAGACACAGATGGAAAAACTAATCATATAATTTCTAATTGTGAAGTCAGTAAAAAATCTGTGTTCATGGATGTCTTTGCTATCCTTAGAGTTTTGTGATCGGAAATGTTGATTAATTTAATTCCCTTGCTAATCATGTTTTACCTAAAACTAAATGGGAATCTTCCTGAGAGAGATTAAATTAAAAATATTTTTCCTTGAGCAAATAGCTGGCCTAATCTGATGTTCTTGATTTCTGGAACTTTTGATTTCTAATTTGTTCATCAAGCTATAGTCATTAGAATCTGTTGGGCATTGTCTTCAAGTATTAAAATATTTCAATAATCACTTATGAATCTTAAAGTCACTCTTGCAGCAACTTTAGTCAAAACACAGGTTAAAACTGAAGAGAAAGCCAAAAACATCTGAGCAGCAAATTAAATGTTACGTTAACTATCTACAAAAAATTATGAAATTTACTCAAAACAAAATCCATCAACCCTTCACACAGAGCCTACTTACTCCTGCTTTATCTAACAATCTTGGTTTTACCTACTTTACTAGCAATCTAGCTAACTAGTTTTTTGTTCTAAATCAGAGAAATAATTAACAGAAATAGGAAAGACAAGCCATGGCTAGACGGGGAACAGTAACAACAGGGACATGTGGTGGCAATGACCTTATTGAAGCCTCAGTAAAGCAATAAAAAGCAGACAGATGAAAAGGCCTGTCAGTCCAATTGTAAAGATGCAAATATCAACATATTTATAATATCTTTGTGAGGTGGATATCATTATCCTGGCTTTACAATAGATAGAGGCCCAAGAGATTCAGTATGTTTCCTCGGGTCAGACATGAAGTTGTGGAACAGGAGTTTGTATCCAGGTTTATTTGACTCCAGAGCCCAAGTTCTTTTCATCTGTTCATTAATTCATTTACTCCAGCTATTCATTTATCTATTCAGTAATTTGAGTATAGCAAGCATTGTTCTAGAGACTAGGGGTATGTCTTCTTACGGAATCTGTAGCTATTGTCCCCAAAATTTGTATTAAAAAAATGCAAATATTCTAAAAGAATTAGAATTATACTCACAGAATCCCAGTTTGTAAAAAGAAAGCCAAGGACTAGTTTCTTAAGGGAAATCCATCTTGAAATGGGAGATTTGTGTTTGATGCCTCAATGAATGCAGTCCTAGGACACTGGGAAAGGAAACATTTGTTCCAATTAGAATGCCAGTCATCCCTGACTCAGAAAGGCAGGTTAATGCATTCTGTTCTCTTTATACCCTCACAAATAGAAATGGCAAGCAATAGGATATATTGGAGTATATGAGGAAGCCATTTTGTATAAACCTAATTTGGCCTAACTTTGTTTTTTCCAAAAGGGCCTGACGTGGCCATTGAGCATGCATTGTATATCTGCTTTAAACATTTCCTATGGCAAGAACAAATGGCCTTAAGATAAAGGTGCAACTTCCCCCCACATTGGCATTTCCTTAAGGATGAGCATCTCTTCCTAGGCTAGGAACTGATTGCTGCACCCACCTCTGACCACCCAGCTCACCTGTGACTGACCATCCACCTCGAGAGAACAGACCTGCCACCCTGCTGTGTCCACCGAGACAGCAGACTTACCTGCTGTTTCCATCAATCGCTGTGCCGACAGAGCAGTCTTGCGACTGTTGTAAAAGGGACATTTCAATCATACGTGAAACATCCTCTTTGGGGGTATATAACCACACTGTACACCCCACTTCTTTGATGCCCTTTTTTCCTTCAGGAAGAAAGGCCCTGGGCCATGGTCCTCACATTTTAGCTCAGAATAAACTCACCCAAATTTTCATTTATACATTGGCTATGGATTATTTTTGTCGACAACCCATTTATGTTAAATGTTATCATTTTGGCAAATTTATCTCTTAAAAATATATTTAGGACTAAGTCCTGTCTTCTGATAAAATGCAAATCACTTAAGTGCTCTGTAAACTAAAGTTTTATCTTGTTTCCTAACAAGGAATAACTTCTATCACAATATTTTTCTTTTTCCCCAAAAAGAGCCTTTTAAACAAAATAACAGAATGTTTTCCAGCTTTGTGAAGGATCAGTCCTCTTCTGGTCCATATAAAAGCTTACTCTCACAACACTGCCCCCTTCCCTGGAGGGGGTTTTCCATGGGATGTTGTGGTGCCACACATTCACCCTACTCCTGCTGGGGAACAGGACCACTCCTTTGCCTCACCAACCCTCCAGTCACATGGCTTTAAAATTAAAAGTACTTACTTCTTAGGAAAATGTCCAGGTGAGACATCCTATGGTATGTCATCTGAGGTTAAGAAGTTAAAAGAGCATGATTTACTAAAGGAAATATAATTATATATATTTATATATGCACCTTCCAATGCAATGTCAGCATCATGTCACATGGGACATCACTGTTCCTTCTGACACTTCTTGACATAACTATATCTAAGCAAAACTCTTTTAAAGGAACTTTAACAGTAACTACTTAACCATAATGTGCAAGTTTCAGAAATCCTAAGTGAAGTCAGTCATCACCTAATTCAGCACCCAATCACTAGAAGAAAGAAGTCACAAAGTAATGAAAATGTATATCTTTGTTTTCACTTCCATAAATGCTTCTTTTTATAAGTTTGGTGAAGTAGCATAATTTTTACTTTGTCTAGGAAAAAGGAAATGGATTCTTCCCCTAAGATACTGTCAAATGTTAAAAAGCTATTAAAGGGGTCACCCAGTGGCATAGTGGTTGGGTTTGCGCTCTCTGCTTCGGCGGCACAGGGTTCACGGGTTCAGATCTAGGGTATGGACCTAGCACCACTCTCAAGCCACACTATGGCAGCATCCCACATAAAATAGAGGAAGATTGGCACGGATGTTAGCTCAGGGCCAGTCTTCCTCACACACACAAAAAGCTATTAAATAGACATATAGTGCTCTGTGAAGTAGAGAATACTTTGGAATTCCTGGTAACTAGTACTCTTTAATGATAGTAGGAGTAGTAATAATAATAATAATAATAATAATACTTGAAGGTTAATATGACCATGTGAAGCAAAATGACAGAATATCCCTCTCCTGTTGCCTAAAAAATAAAACAAATGCAAAATTTATCAGCAGCCCCCAATCAATAAAAGGAGAACAACTTTATGCCATTCATTTTAATGTGCCAATGAAAGAAAATTTTGTGTAGTTTATTCCGGTTCCTAACTACATGTTTCTCAAGAGGGCATTTGCGGCAGATATTTGTCCCACATATTGCAAAATATTTAGCATCTGTGGTCCTTTACCTGTAAGTACTAGTAGCATCCTTCATTCATTGTGACAACCAAAATAAAACCACCCACTCTCCCTGGAAGTGTTGGGGGTTCAGGAGGAAACCACACTATTGGTTGAGAGGCAGTATACCTAACCCCATCCCTACATTCCAAATGCATATTGAGGTAAGGGGAGTCTACAACATCCTGATAATTCTCCAACTGGAAGAGAAGATTAAAAGATTGGGTAGGTAATCCTATTCGAAAAGAAAAAAAGCCTCAGAGTAGAAGCCCCTGTTCTAAAACAACAAGATCTCAGGAGAGAAGTTCTGCAGAATGTGTGCTCTTCCAGAACACCATGTTGACTTCAGGGAATGAGCAGAAGCCTAACTGGAAGGAGGGGGCCCTGCAGAGAACATTTAATGGGATCTTAGACAGTAGTACCCAAGCGCCCAGGCTTTATCTGACACCATCTGAGCACTTCCTCTCTGCCACCTTCATCCCATCAGGCTAAAGAAAAATGCAGAGAATAATATTCAGCCATCAAGCCTGCACACAGACAGAAAGGCAGGCTCATTTCAGATGACAGAATCAACAAGAATTCACACACACTACATCATTGCAAATAGCTGGGTTTAGACACAGCTGCCCAATTAAACGCAATTAAACAAGTGGCAAGGAGACTTTGTAAATAGGGAAGAGAAGAGAAGAAATATGACATGTAAAAAGACACATGAAGAAACCAGTTTGGGAAAACATATAGCCCAGGAAACAAAAGTAGACTCCCTATAAAAAGACTAAATAAGCATGTGAATCTAAGAACAGACAAGATGATTAGATAATAGAATATTATAAAAGAGGAGATCACAGGGCTAAGAAAAAAAATGAGAAAAACAACAACACAAAAACACTCTTACAAATCTAGTAAAAAAAAAAAGAAGCAGCATGAAACAAAATAGACTGAAAATTGACATAGTAGTATAAATAAATAAATCACAGAGAAGGCAAAGGGAAAAGGTAAGGATATTAAATCAATAAAAAGAGAAAATTATGGGGGGCTGGCCCTGTGACCGAGTGGTTGGGTTTGTGTGTTCAGCTTAGACGGCCCGGGGTTTTGCTGGTTCGGATCCTGGGCGTGGACCTAGCACCGGTCATTGGGCCATGCTGGGGCAGCATCCTACATAGCACAACCAGAAAGACCTACAACTAGAATACACAACTATGTACTGGGTGGCTTTGGGGAAAAGAAGAAGAAAAAAAAAAAAAAGATTGGCAACAGATGTTAGCTCAGGTGCCAATTTTAAAAAAAGGAGAGAGAGAAAATTATGGCTATAAAGAACAAGTCTAATTACTTATCTTAAGGAAAACTGATGTCCAAAATGTAGAAAATCTAACAAATAGAACAGAAAAAGACACTCAGAGATACACAGGAAAATTCCTATGAATAAAGGAAGAAATGAATCTGAACATCAAAAGGACATACCTTTAGTTGGAAAAACTGGGAGAGAACTATTGACATTGAGATACAACCTGGTTACATTATTGAATTCATAAAGAAAGATTTCTTGAGTCATTCAAGCAGGAAAAGCAAGACACCCACAAGGAGGAAAAATGAGGCTGGCCTCAAGCCTCCACAGCAGGGTTCAAGGCCAGAAGACATATCTTCAAAGTTTTGAGGAAAAGAAAATATAGCCCAAAGAGACTGCAGCACAATTGTCCATCAGGCATAAAGGCTACAGGCAGACATCTCACGCATGAGAGAATTTAGAGTATATAGCACCCAATGAGCCCTTCTTTTAAAAAATACCTGGAAAATGAAATTTAACAAACCAAAAAACGGATCAAAATGAAGAACTCAAGAACAGAGAAGCTGTGCTAAAAGGGCTGATTCAAAAATGAAATGGTGAGCACTGAAGCCATTCACACGATTGGGAAAGTTGTTATTGTAGAAGCAGGGAAATGTTATAGACCCTGGCAAAATACAGATGACGTGAACAGCCAAAACGGACAGAGCAGGGAGAGGAAGCAGAAGCAAGCGAAACAGGGCTCCTCATCCTATCTTTCATGCCTGAGAGTGAATATTATCTAAAAAGTAATACTGATTCCAAGATCCTAAATGTTTCAAAAACTTCTTAATTTTACATGACCTTTTAGAAATTTATATCTATATAGCAAAGAAATATTTATCAATAGTTCAGGAATTCCTTCCGTTTTAGTTTTTCATCTGTTAAACACTAATGAAATTTTAATTTTCTTTCAGAAATTGCACAAACTTTGATCCTATTTATGAAACTTTAGTTCTGACTAGAGCTGTCCATCTCTCCATTCATACTTCCTCATGTTTACTTTTTTAGAGAGAGAGATCTAGAATCGTGTTCCACATGGTGGTATTTGTGTATGCTTTTTTGTAATTACTGAAACTTTTAGGATGAGGTTGTGCCATTTCCACAAAAATAAGAAAAACAATCTCTTTTTTTGAACAACAGCGTTGTGTGCTAAGCACTTGATAGACATGATCTCATTTCAATTAAATTACATTTGCTTTTTTCTAAAGTTCATTTTTCCAATAAAACTACTTTTGTTCTTTTTTTAAACTAAATTTTAATTTCACAAGTTATTCATTTGTATGCATTAGGATTTTTAGTTGCAAACAACGGAGTCCATTCTGGCTAGTTTAAGAAGAGGTAGATTTATTACAGGATTATTAGGTTAATTCACAAAACTGTGGGAGGGCAAGAGAAATAGGCAAATTGCTAAGCTTCCCGGAATAATATAGCCAGACTCACTCCCAGGACTGGCCTCATCAGAGGACGTGCCTCTGCTAGAACCAGACACCTGCTGCTGTCTTATTAGCAATACGGACGCCCCACTTGAAGCCTGTGTTCTCGGGGTACTCACGTTCAAATCAAAGTCTAGTGCAGATACAGACGACTGGCAGAACTTAGGGCACACATTTGCACCCCAGTTGCTAGGGAGGCTGGGAAGTGGATTTTTTAGATTCTACCTGGGGAATTGGGTGTTCAAAATGTGGGAAACTGGCAAAATGTAGAAAGGGTCTTGTAAAGTTGTTAGATAGCCCTCAGTGCCAGTCAACTGTCACTCTAACCAACAGCAGCAACAACAATACCATCTTTTCTATTCAATGTGTGGTCCATGGACCAGCAGCATCAGCATCAACTGGGAAATAGAGAATACAAAATCTTGGGCCCCACCCCGGAGTTACTGAAAGAGAATCTGCATCCTAATAAAATCCTTCAGGTAATTCTGACATGCAGCAAAGTTTGAGAACTGCTGCCCCAACATAAGAAAATGCAATACCTTTTCATACAAATGAAAATGCACTCACTCCCCAAAGGGGAGACTCAGTCTCATCACTTCCGGCATCTCCTCCAAGTCCAGGATCTCTGGGCGATAGTCACTCTTCTCTAGTTCAGTCATCATCTTGTCCTGATAGTCCACAGCTACGCACTTAATAAAGTAAACCATCACCAACACTCTATATGAAATAATAAGGAAAAAAAAGAAAATTAGTCAATATATATAAATAATTAAAAATAGTTAATATGTATAAATAAAAGTATCAGGACACAGCAAGGAAGAAAATATGAGAAGTGACTACAGTCCTGGTTTCTACACCTGGGCTTAAGGCTGCTGTTAGTGTTATAATTTCTTTCTGCCTGTGTGAGGTGCTACAGTATTCCATTAATTTTATGCCACTGGAAGCAGCACTAGGAGATGTCCAAAAGATTCTTTAGGTTCTAGAAATGCTCCTTTCCCCCATAATTGTACAGCAGCATTCCTCTTACCCTTGACATTCAGGATCAATCTTTCCAGCCTACTTGGTATAACCCTTTCTTGCCTGTTTTCTCCAGAGTCATAGGAGCCCCAAATTACTACATCATCAGTTCAGCTTCCAATTCAACGGGACCACTGTTGTATCCTCTGCTGAAAGCACTTCAGCCTTGATCTCTAACCCAGCAAAGCCCAAGGTGGCTGGGGAGGAAGTAAACTTTTTCTAAGTGTAGTAGTAAGTCCAACAGTGAGAGGCACCACTCCCACTTCCACCCTTTGCTTTCTAAACCATGCATTCTGGCCATGGGGGAGACTATTTACTGGTCACTGCTTCAGATCATATGCCACACTCTTTAGGACAACACATCCAATACTGAATCTTCAATGGGCTCTTCCACCATTCTATCAATACGGTAAGACCAATGAATGCTTTAAATTCAACCATTGCCTTATTTCTTTTGTAGTAAATTGAGTTCCTTAGTCTGAAAGAATGTTGTTTAAGATGGCAGGCAGTGAATAGAGCATTCAGTAAGTCCACTGGCGATGTAACTGGCAGAAGTACAATGAGAACGAAAGGGAAATCCATATTTAGAAGTGTCTTGTGAGGATAATGATCTCTTTCATGGAGGAAGGGGTCCAATGTAATCAGCCTCCCACCAGCTGGCTGACTGTACACCCAGGGAGATTTTTCTCTGTGAATTACTTAGGGTTGGTAACTTTTGCTGGCACACTCATATGTGGCCAGGTCAGTTTTGATGAGGGGGAAGTTCATGTTGCTGAGTCCATACATAATAACTTCTGTCCCCATGATAACTTAGTTTATGAAGCCACTGAGCAAGCACTAGGGTGACTGGAGAAAGCCTGATTGACACCCACAGAGTTGGTCATTTTATCTACCTAATTATTAAGAACATCCTCAGTTGTGGGGTTCTCTTGGTGAACATTCTTGTGGGGTACAAATAACCCTCAGACTCTAGGGCCATTCTCAGAGGCAGAGAAAGCAAGTGTTTTTGGAATCTACATTGGGTAGATGAGATATAGGGTGGGTGTTCAAAAGATACTGGGCAACGACCACGAGGGACAGTTGAGCACTACAATGTATATTAAAACATTACAAATGCCAAGAGTAAAGGCTAATGTAAACTATGGACTTGAGGTGATAATGATGTGTTGATGTAGGTTCATCAGTTGTAAGAAATTTACCACTCTGGTGGGAGATACTGATAATGGGGGAGGCTAACCATGTGTGGGAGTAAAGGGTATATGGGAAATCTCTCTATCTTCCTCTCAACTTTGCTATGAACCTAAAATTGCTCTAAAAAAATAAAGTCTTTTTTAAAAAAATCAAACATAAAGTCCAGTCTCCTTTGACCACTGCCCCACCAATCCCAATCTCCTTCCTGGAGGGAACCACTGTTACCACTTTGGTGTGTCTCCTTTCATACCTTTTGTTAAACATTGACATAATTATACACCCACCCATTGAAGTATATGGTATTATTTTGTTTATGTGTGGAATCATTTGATACAACGTATTAGGCAACTTGGTTTTTCTTTTCCTTCTGTAATCTAGAGATCGTAAATACAGATCTACCCCATTCTTTTTAGTTTCTCATAATGTTCCATTATATGGATGCATCATAGTTTATTTAGCCATTCTCATATTCTTTCCTTTTTTTGCATTAACTATATGTAATGAATATCCTTGTACAGGCCTCCCTGAGCTCATACACAAATGTTTCTCTAGGGAAAATCCTAAGTGGAAGTTAAGGGTCACAACATATGAATATTTTTAATTTTAGTAGATATAGCCCAATGCTTTATATTCTCATGGTAGTGTCTAAAAGTATCCATTTCCTCATACTCTTGGCCAACTATATCATATTACCAAAGTGTATAATTTTTGCCCATCTAATGAGTATAAAGGTTATCTTGGTTATCAGAATGCATTTCTCTGGTCAGGCTGAGTACTTTTTTCCTATGTTTATGTTTTCTTATGTGTGGTCATTTACATTTCCGTTTCTGTTCTTATTCTTTGCCCATTTTTATTGGTTGTCTTTTAGCTATAGATTCTTATGTTCTGGATATTAATCCTTTACGTATCTTACTTACAAATGTTTCTTCCAATCTTTGTTTTATTTGAGTGTTTTTATACTGTCCTGTATTCAAAAGTTTTTCATTTGATGTTATCAAATTTCCTTTTGGTTTTTGACTTTTAAAAGAAAAATCTTATTTCAAATGTTTTTTCTACCACCAAAAAAAATATATAGTTTCATTTATTTTCTTTTAATATTTGTGTATGTTTTCCAATTCTTTAGATTTTTAATCCACCTTAAATTATCTTTGTGGATAGTATGAAATAGAAATCTATTTTTTCCAAATGGCTAGTGAGTTTTTCCTGCATTGTTTATTGAAAACTAAATCCTTTTCCACTGATTTAAAATGCCACCTTTCACATACTGAATTTCCATATATACATGGTTGTATTAGTCTATTTGTCCGTTACTGTCTCACCATTACACTGTGTTAAATTGAAAAGATGTTCAATTTAATCTTTTCTTTCTTTTCAGAAAGGTTCCCATTGAACAATTCTATTATTTGACGCAGAACAAAAAAAGTGACATCTATGGAAATGATTCTTTGTAAGTTTGGGGTTTCTTTTCCTTATGTGAGATCAAATAACATTTTTAACTGGAGATGAGTTATATGAGAAATAAAAAAGGCCCAAAATGGGAACTTTTAGAAAAACAAAAGGGTTCCTTTTTTTTAATAAGATCATTAATAATAGAAACTAAAACCAAACAACAAATACAAAACAATAAACCGAAAACTCACTAATAATTTGTGGCATTTAAAAAAATGGGAAAAATGTAGGAAATATAGAATAGTAATGTTTGAAGGGACTCATACAGGTCATCTTGGAACATTTCCCTGCCTTTGAACTAGTTACTCAATTGAATAAGAGTCTGTTACATTTCTTAAGAGGTTCATAGAAAATGCTCTAGCACCCTCAACAAAATTTTTAATCAGAATTTTATGAGGAGAGAGATTTGTTATGACAATCTACAAATAACTCTTAACAAAATTACTCCCTGAATCTCTTTTTTGAATAAGGAATACTTGTTAATTACCCTTTGCTTAGAGAAATTATTTTCCAATATATTAAGTTATTTTTCACTCTTTGAAATAGTTTGTTGTATATATTACAAAAGCATACTTTTTAATTTTTGGATAAAAATAAAACTGACAGCATTGAAGTAACAATGAAAATAGCACTTTACCTTTATTAGAATTCTTAGACTTTTCCTAGGTAAGATGTTAGTACAGAGCTTGGCCACAAGAGGGAGCCAAAAAGACATGAAATTTGTGGTTATGAGGCCTTCTTTATCACTTTGGGGTTGGTAAACTCAGAAACTGATATGTAATAATGTACACCGGAAATTTACTCAATGTTATAAGCCAATATGACCTAAATAAAATAATAAAAATTTTTTTAAGTAGATACAGAATGTGGCAGTAAAATAATGGACTGGTTCAGGTCAAGAAATTTGTGTCTCTGAGCAGTTTTCATTTTCATTTTATCCTTTCAAACTTTGAATTTTTAAAAAAGGTTCCCACTTATTCTTTTTAAATTTTTTTTCCATTTTGAGTCAAATCAATATTAGGCATATACCTGTCAATATCATAGCTAATTTGTTACATGAGAAAAATTTTAGATGCTGATTTAATATTTCATATGTAACAGCCAATCTAGTAACTCTAGATCCCTTGAATCAGTATATTCATTGCCCCTGTTTCTCAACTCAACCAGAAATATAACTGGAAGACAAGACATGCTTTTTTTCAGTTCCAAGCCTCCAAACTTGAGTCCAAAGAAAGATATAAACCTTTTATGGTTCATGTGAATTATATGTTTATAATACATTATAGACTAATAAAATTATATGGCTTATATACCATTTTTGAAATAAAGAAACGTTAAAAATTAAACAGTATACTCAATTTTGCTGATCTTTACTATCGACTGATAACATTCTGTTCACTTTTCATGCCTGAAATATTTCAGGGATATTTGCATAGGCTGAAACTAATTTTGAAATCCAAGGATAGTGGATGACAATCCTTCTCTAGTGTGGACTTCGCTCCTGGGCTGCAGTCTTGTTTCTTGGCATGAAGGGCTCAGAGTAACCTTTGAATGAATTGACTCAGAAGAGGCATGCCTCTGGGAGCTTGTTCAGTTTCTTCTAGCCTCTCTGTCAACTGGGCAACATTTACTATCACAAGAGATAAGCAATCCTGGGCGAAGGGACAAAATACACACAGTGCATATATATCTTCTCCAACCAGGCCATGCTCAGGTCACGTTAGGTCATGTACTTGCACCACATGCATGGTGTCAGGCTGCCTCAGAACACTCTGGCTACTGCCTGACCCTGAGGGTAGAGGTCAGCAAGAACCAGATCTGTGTTCTCATTAGAAGTGGTCAGTCCTGTACCTGCACTGCAAATAAGAAATGCAAAACGGGTGGTGGGTGAGACTGCAGTTAGAATAAGCAGAATGGAAAAAAATGATCAACAGACAACTGAGATATGATGATATATATGTCTGCTCAATATTCAGTGTTCCATAAAATCAATCAAGAATATTATCTTAAAGATACTGTAGTATGAAAATAGGATACATCTTTATACTTAAGCAAGTTTC